CCCCAAAACCCCAAAACCCCAAAACCCCAAAACCCCTTGATATTTTAGTCAGATTGAAGGGCTAATTAAACTCTGATTTCATTTGGACTGTTTCTTCCTCTTCATCATCTTCCTCATCCTCAATATTCTTTTCTTTAGCTTTAAATTGTCTCTTGCCTTTCACTTGATATGTTCCACGTTTAGAAGAGTCTTCACTAAGTTTGGGTACCTTCTTCCTCTTCAGAGCATCGACAACAAGTTGGTCGTCTAGCTGTTCATTATCAAAGTCTTTCTTAATACTCTTTTTAATAGTTTTGACGAATTCCTTCTTTTGCTTAGTAGCGTCTTCAGCATCGCCTTCACCATCATCTATTGCTAATTCACCAAGATCCAAAGCAAGGTTGTCAATCATGTAATCTTCAGAGTGTTTCAACTTCTCTCTCATAATCAGAGTGATAGCTTTAGCCTTTTTCTCTGCAATACTGAGACATTCTTGATAAGTGGGAAAAGATAGAGAAAGAACTCCCTGTGTATGGATTCCACAAATATCTCCAAATACATTGATGAATATTGTATTTCGACTTGTAGTCACCTTCTCCTCCTTGAGATCAGGATCAAGTATCACATTATTTTCATTATCAATGAAATAGAAAGTGATTGGAATTGGCATATGATGAACATTGATATTCTTCCATGGCTTATCCTCTAAAATTTTGACGGAGTCTTCTTTTCCTCTCACTTGTGGTAATTTGAGAGTCTTAAGACATTGTAGGGCTGCCAAAAATACAGCATCAATTAAGTTTCCATCATAGTTGATCAAAGAGATTTCAAGAGTAATGGCCCAGACATATTTCCCTTTAGAGATTCACAAACTTGTTGTATCAATAGCCCTCGAAGTTATGAATACTTTATCCAATAACCTCATCAGTTCAAGTCTTGCTTCTTGTAGCACATCCATGTTATCGTTGAAGTGTTGCAAATGTTTAAAGTCGATGTTGAACCTGTAGAAGCCATCAGAATCCTTGTTTTTCTGTGGTTGGACAATTCTCTTGCTGCTAGCTGCCATCACTTGAGTCTTGCCAAGAGATAGAACAACAAGTCCATTGGTACTGTTTCCATATTTAACTTCAATATCTCTGAACTCAAACTTATTTCTACCATCTAACCGAAGGTCAATATCTGCAGAAAGCGTGTCCTTCAGAAACGCTGTCTCATTAACACTCAACTCTTGAAACATTTTGTAAATATTTATTATTCAAACACAACTTCATGAACTGGGGTTTTGGGGTTTTGGGGTTTTGGGGTTTTGGGG